TTGATTTAAAAAAGAGCACAATATTACAATTTATTCCTAATCGCAGCAAAAAAAAAGGATATATTTTATAAAATAGATCATGTATTTAAAAAGATTAGGTCATGTTGATTTTTCGAAGTACAGATTATAAATATGAAATATATATTTTACTCCTCTTTCCTTTACAACCCATTTTCGAAAATTAATTAAAATTCTTTAATTTAATTGTAGATCAGGATTTAGTTTAGTTTTATATCGATGGTTTCTTCCTTATTTTTTTTTTTTAATTCTACAAGTGCCTTTTTATTTTAAATATTATTTTATATTCTATACTTGTATCTGTGTTTCCTGTTTTTGTAGATTAGAACATGTCCCTACTTAACTCCTAATCTTTTATTTGAACTCTTGAATTTAATCGATAGGTTAAAGAGAATTCCGTTAAGTTTAGAAATCTAAAAACATTGCTTCGTTGGTTTTACCTTTTTCGATTTTTTAGTGTTTGCAAAAACATACATTTACTATAGTATATTCCGAAAATTGAGAATAATCTTTGAGGTATTTATTGCAAATTTAACACTGAATCATATGATCCCTATAGGCGTGGGTCAGCAAAATAATCTTGACCACTTTTATGGCCAAAAATTAAATAAAAAAGTACTTTTTTTTGATACTTTTGGGTAATCGATGGAGAAATGAATGATTGCGTTAAAAAATAGATTGAAGCAAAAGTAATGAGGAATTACATTTGATGTACGGAGTCTAACTGAACGGATTGGACCTAATTAACCTAATAAAATAGTATTAACTATTCTGTACTGCTTTTATTACTACTTGGAAAGAATACTCAAAACATTTAATGTTTGTAAAAACTTTTAATGTCTTGATTTCCAAATAAAATAATATCCGAATTTCTTGATTTGACGATTTTTTTTTCAATTATTTTACCAATAATAAATTATTTATTATGATCAAGGGTTTTAAATCATTACCAAATTGTTTTTTATTTACTGCCTCACGCTACTTCCAAACTATCGAATTGATAGGAAGAAGTTTTAACCGTAACCTCAAAATTTATTAACCTCCAAAATCAAAATTTTCTGTACCATATTAAGCTTTACTTTTCTTAATAAAAATGTTGTTGTTGTCTTTCGGATTATACAGTATTTTTTGTTTTATCTTCGGTAAGACTACCTAAAACTAATTTTTCTGTAAATAACAAGTTATATTAAAATTCTACATTTTTCATTTTGAAAATCGTGTCGATTTCGAAAACTCGCTTAAGATTTTTTTTTTTTTATCACTCTATTTATAAATACATTTTTAATAAGAAACATTTATTGCGTTTAACCTGCAAAAGAAACGCATCGTTAAGGCATCTATTATTTTATAGTTCAATTAATTAATGTTGGTATCATGAAAAGAGGATAACTAAAAAAGAGCTAAGATCTAATGATTAGAAATTCAATAATTGATTTTCTATAAATTCCAAAGAGATAGAAATGTCATCTTCCGTGACCTTTTGAGTTAGCTATGCTCATTTCCCTTCTTAATAATATCGTTTTAACTCAGCAATCGAAAGGTGTTTAGCTTCTTCATGTTGCCGATGAAACTTTTTATGTTTATTTCTCTGAATATTTTCAATTTTCTTCCTCAAATATTTATTTGTAAGTGACTGAACAGTAGATAATCTGTAATTATACTTTTTTTTAGAAAAAGAACTCAGGTATGACAGATTATTTATTCTGTAATATCAACCGATATTGGGCGAGGGCTTGATTCATCCTTCTTGGGCTCACCCAGCCTCTATAAAGTGGTAGCTCTTAATTAGGAAAAGGGATTTTAAGCATGAATGATGACGTCACCCCCAAATAAAATCTTTTTACAGTTGATTCTTTAATAAGTACTGAAACGAAGGCCGTTCTTGGGCAGTAGCGATTAAATATTTTTACCTTTAATTCAAAGCCGAACCTCTATAAAATAAAAACTTTGCATTTTTATTAGAAAAACAACTGCTGGTTGTCGAATTAAATTTATTTATATCGAAAAAAATGCCAAAGTTAAAACAAATATAAAATATAATAGCCATACAAAGGGACTATTAATACGAATATAAGAATTTACAATAATTAAATAAGAAAAAAAAATTATTGAACAAAGCAATAGAAGTTAGAGGAAGACATTGTCAAGGATGGTAAAATCCTTGATTCGGTTATTAAACGGTTGATTGGTTAAGAAGAGATAGGCAACGATTGAATTGTTAAACTTTCATTTAATCAGTGTAGCTGTATCGAAATGTAATACCATAAAAATTATCTTTTATAGGTGCTTTAACTATAATAAAATAAATCTTAAAAGGTTTGCCATTATATGGGTTAGAAAATTGTAGAGATTTTGTGTACTGATTTTTGTTTCGGCGAACATTCATGTTAGATATTTAAAAAAACTCTAAATGGATTTTCTAGCTAAATTTTGGCATACGCTATTTTTTTGTTATTAATGTTTCGAATTTTCTACAGAATTTCAAATGATTACATAGAGAAAATGTGATAAACTTTGACACGGGTTGGTCTCGTTTTAATTACCAAATTTATATGTTTATTATTTGTTTCATAGAGTTTCAGGGCGTAAAACAACACAGTCATCAACGACTGATGTTTTTATAATTTAAAATTTACAAAACGAAGAATAAAAAGAAAATTTAATAGTAATAATAAAAAATATAAAAAAATAATGTAGTAATAAAAATTATGATAATTCTATATTCTATAAAATCTACTCTAATACTTTAGAATTTAAAATAAATATAATTTTATTTATTTATTTATAACAATATGGGAGGGGCTCCTCAACCCCTCTTACGGGTTATTTTAGCCCTTACACAGTATTTATATTACATTAGATGATATTTAATAATAAATTTGTAGAAAGTACAAAATATTTAAAAAAATTAAATTTCCAAAAAAGTGCAAGAAAAATTTAAATTTTGTTATATAGGTGCGTTATTTGAAGAAATATAAATATTTTGTTTGCCAATTTGGTGGTGTTTTTCAAAATATCAGTAATATTCTCCAATTCAACTTCATTTCGTTTGACTCATATGCATAATATTCGGTCAAGATATGACATTATGAGGGTGTTCCCTTTGTCATTAGGTACGCATGAGTTAGCCGTGAGTGTCCGATTCGAAGCCTTGTCAGGATGATTTCATCTCTTCTGTTCAACTGGAGGTCCGCTCGACTTGGAACTGCAGAGGGCTCGATTGCTCTCAACTTATTGTCTCTTGAAACATTTTGCCACAATATCGGCTAGCTCATTACCTCTAATACCTGAGTGACCCGATAACCACAAAAATTGTATCTTACTTCCTACATTCTCCAATGTTATTAGGTGCCTAACTGTGTCTGTGATTAATAAATTAGTTGAAAAGGAATTTTTCATAGCTCTAAGAGCAGATTCTGAATCTGTACAAATATAAATTTGCTGTTTATTGCAGTTGAGACTACAAACGGCACGATTTATTGCAAACAGTTTGCATGGTAGGAAGTGCAATAAGGGGGTAATGAGAACATTTAGACATTGTCAGAAACAGTGGCCGCACCGACTCCATCTTGAGTTTTTGACCCATCTGGATAAAGATATTCCCAATCGGAATGTTTCAGTTGGAAGTCCGTGAACTCTGCTAATCCTAACTTTGACGCAAGGGCCTTGTTACATCTGACAATATGTATTTTAGGAATTGGTAGCAGCCAGGGCTCTGTTTGTACTATACTTCTAGAATTGAAGGAAAGGGTGCGAGATCAAATTCTGTGATGTGTATTGAGCACCTTTCTGCTGAAGATAATTTAGTTGGTAGGTTTACGAGAACTGTTGTTGGCATAACGAGTGTGTTTGTTAAAGGGTGAGTGGGTCTATTTTTATATAGAATGCTAAGTTTAAAATTTGTCTTCTTATAGCCAGTGACATTTTATACCAGCTTTCACTTTAAGGCTTGCTATGGGGCTTGATCGAAAAGCTCCGGTGGCTACTCGAAGTGCTGTGTTTTGGATCGTATCCAGCATCTCAAGTGTCCTTTTGTTAGCGGAACCATATACTATACTAGCATAATCTAATTTACTCAGTATATTTGCCTTATATACCGAACCGCTCCTTTCGATAAATCTTTTATTATTCGATCCTCAACCCTATGGAACTCCATCTCTCCCCACATCCGTCAATCCAAAACTCTTCCTACCTTTAATTCGCGTCTGTTTAATCATTTCTTATCCATCCAGCCCTCATAAAATTGTAAATAGCTACTACTGTAAATATGTATATAAATTATTAGATCGTTTTTCATTATTTTTACTTCATGTTTATTTTCAATTTTTTATTATTAACTGATTTAAATTAGAAAGTAAATTATAATTTCTTTATTATTATTTTTTTTTTTTGACTATTCATAATCAAACTATATTCTTGTTTATGTATCTCTGAGGCTCCTTAGACCACATTTTTGTCTCTCTGTATTATTCTAAAGGGACTTGTCCCAGAATAAATAAAGCATTATTATTATTATTATTATATGAATTATGATTCTATCTGCTGCCCAATTGTGATTGCTTACTGTTTTTAGGATACTTGAAGCTTGTAGACAATTAGCCCTAAGCTGTTCTATATAGGGTGTCCATGTAAGAGGGCGGTCTAAAGTGACACCAAGATATTTAATATTCGTTGAGTAAAATAAATTCTCCCTATTAATTTTAATATTTTTAATGGTAAAATTTCGATTTCTTGTAAATAATATCGCCTGTGTTTTGGTAATTATAAATAAATATAATTACTGCGTTTAAAGTTTTTATATAGTCTCATGACGCTATAGATATTGCTTGTATTGTTATCACTTAAAAATAAAATCAAGGGACAGTGTCACTTGGATTTTCAGAAATAAATTTATGCTTGTCAAAGTACTAGTATCCTTGTGGTGCCCCTGTCTGTGATCAATTATTTATGCACCACATTAAACCTTCTATAAAACTTCTTGGCTACACAGTTGCATTAGCCAATACATTGGCCGATCCTTGTTGTGGAGTAAACAACGACGTAATATATTCCCAGATCTCGGATTCGACCTTAGCTTCACCTAGCCGCCCGTCGAATAAGGTAATGCGCCTCAGGAGTGGGGGGCTCCGAGCTGTGCCCCCATTGGTTCCAGCAGTCCTTATCTGTCTGCTGATTGCTTCTTGTCCCGATAGTGTCGGTACTTCAGTCAAAATTAGCCGACTCTGATTCATTGTTCGTTTCGCGCTATCCGTGAGTAATTTCTTACTAGACAGAGGCCCGTGCGGCGGCCGTTCTGTCGGAGAACAGTTGTTGCTCTGTGTTGGATGAAACTTGAGGTTATCACTTGTGCGACCGTGGCCTGACAACTGTGAGGACATAGCGGCCTAATCATATTCAGTAATTAGTGATAGAGTGTGTGTGTGTGTGTGTGATGGAGGTGAAGCGCGAACGAACGATGAGCATGCCACCGCTTTCTCCGTCTAGGCGGAGGTCCTCCATCGCTGCTATACTGGCCAAGATGTACTTCGTAGGCGATGGTAATTCATTTTACAATAACTAAATAATAATTTATAACAATTTATTACACAAGAGCAAAATGATTAACAATAATTGACGCTTGAAGCTCCTCTACTCAGAAGGGTACATGCATCCCAATCTCGCAAGAATTCGTTACCTTAAAATCCGACATGAAAGCCTTCCAATTCATTTCTTCCCATTTAGACTTTGTTTTGCTCTCTCGGAACGCATTCGTTATCCTTTCATGTTTCTGTCAATTAACATAGTTATTAATAATTAGTATTTTTAATCTCACATCCTTTATTTTACATTTAAAAATTATTATTAAACCTTTCGGACCCAATGACCATTTTCAAAAAAGAAATTTTTTTTTTTAAGTCACTTAAAAACCATTATTTCTAAAAAAAATCTTAAAGTATATATCTATATAGAATACTACTCCATGCTAGTAATTGTTTTATAAAATATAACATGTTTGTTTTATTTCCTTTTCCTCCAAATCTCAACAAAAATTATTTCTTCTCCTCAATTTATTAAAACATTCATCCTGCAAATTAAAAACTCATCTATATGTAATAATTTAAAAACAAACTTTTATAAATCTAAAATACTTTTTCATTTAAAAATATTTTTTGGGGCAAAATTTATTTAACTACTTACTAAACAAGTTGATTCTCTTTTGAACGTTGAATGAAAAATATGTAGATGGTTTTAATTATTCATTGGAATATTGTCTAAAAAAGGTTTTTGTAAGAAAATATTGTACAAAAATAGATACCTTTTGGAATTAAATAAATTTCTTGTGTATAGGATGATGATGAGCAGTAGTAAACAATTGCATAAAATTTACGAAAATTCATAAAAAGTGCTAAACTAATACTTAGAATGCCTCTATCATATCTCAATGAATACTGAATAAAATAAATAATAAATAAAAGAAACCTTTCTGTTCTAAAATTACAAACAATTATCGACTGAATAGATTACGAAAAATAATTCTTAGATGTTGTATAAATAATTCATGTTAAGCATTTGAATGCTGGTAACGATAAGATAAAAAAAGAAGAGCTTTAGCCAACCGGAATTTTCGATTTTATTTAATTTTTAAATCATTGTTTATTTATTTTATTATTATCGTTCCATTTGCATAAAAAAGTGTGCATTCGATGCCTCGTTTCAAAAATGCATAACTCTCAACAAGAAAAATCTGATAAATACTTTGAGTTTCTATTTTTGCCAATTTAAAATGGCTATAAACATTTATCTGATAACGATTTTAAAAAAATTAGTGCATTTTAGTTGGCTTGGGTTTGTAAATTATTTTGTGCCCTCACACGCTTGGCATCCATCTAATATTTGGTTTACAATTGTATTTTTATTTTATATAAATAAATGATTAATGAGGTTAGAACTGAGGGGATTTATTATTGGCACTGACTCCACCTTCCTTTTATCATTCCTTTGGCCTATTCAAGCTTCACGAAGTCCTTCAAGCATTGTCTTATTGGCCTCGCACAAACACAATCCCAACGCCAGAGCTGACCCCGATAACCATTAAGGAATTTTGTGGATGAATATATAAGTGCATTTTTTTTAGCTTTGAACGAAAAATAAATATTAAAAAATAATATTTTGAATACTTTGTAAAATCATCGCCAAGATACTTTTCATCTTACGTTCATGAGATACGTCGTAAACAATAATAAACTAAACTACAGACATATAGAAAAAAAGTTTTTCAACTTTTCAAGATTAAGTGTATTAGCACCTTTTTAAGCGGTCTTCAATCTTAAATTAAGTATATAATTATATAAATCAGTTAATCCCTCTAGAAGGCAAAATACCACGTGGAAGTTCTGATAGATCGAATCAACAAAGATACAATAGAGCTGCATGCAGAGAATGCCAACAGAAAAAACAAACAAATTTTATTGTAGTATTAAATTAAATTTTAATTATGTTTCGAAAAATTCTTATTTTTTTCAATTATTTTCAAGTTGGAAAATAATAATAATTTAAATAAATTAATTGATTATGCGATGGTCGTTTATTTATACTATTCGATTCCTGGAAATTATAAATTTATGGATAGAGTTGATTGATATTTATAACAGTAAATTATTTCTGAGTTATGTGTTGATTTGCAATCGTTGCAGTCGTCATTCGAATTATACTAATTAGTGGCTATAATTATAATTTTTGGTTAACGCTTTGCCGTAGTTATTTAATTGTTTTTTACATTGACTTACCCGTGTATGTAATACATATAAATGGAAAGTATTGCGATAGTACCTCAAAACTATATGTATGTATGTGAACAGCAAAGTTCAAGAACGAAAAGTCATCCGAAACTTAAATAGCATTTTTATGTTACATATATGTGTCTAAGTTGTTACAGATATTTTTTTAAGATAATAAAAAAAATAGAAAAACGGCTCTAAATTATTAAATCAATGTACAACGTTATAGTCTTTAATCTTATCTATGTCATATCCTTATTGAAAGTCTGGACACAGCTTAAATGGCGATTTTTTAAAAATATCTTCTGTTATTGTGACTATAATATTTGATTCATTTAGAATAATTAATTTTCTCTCATTATTAATAGTAATATAAAATATTTATGATATAAACGTTGAAAGAATTTGATAATCAACAGGTAAATCTAAATGTCTTTCCAGATTGAAATTGATTCGTCGTATACGTAAATTAAAAGTGACTAAAACTATAAATAATTGTTGTAGTTAATAAAGTACTTTTATAATATTCGTGGGTTCATTGTCGAATGTAGTGAATAATTGAAGAGAAGAATGATTTGGAATGATCAGTCAAGAAAATAGTTAAAATAAATAACTATATTTATTTTTATATTTGCGGGCCAAAAGTTCAGGCCTTCATTAGGGCTGACCTAGTGAAGAGCTGACCACACCGAAACGTCGGCAAATATAAACCCAACCATTATTATTTTCAATTATTTTATAATATTTACTGAAAACTAAAAGGAAATTTAAAAGTTTTGATTTAGTTTATTTTCTATATAAACTAAATCAAAACTTTTAAATTTACTTCAAGCTTTAAAGGCCAAATATATACTATAAGATATATTTGCATTAGTTAAATAACTTAGGACCAGATAATGGTGCCCTTGTTGTTACTATATTTGATGTAAAAAAAAAAAGGTTTATTTCATTTACATGCCCTAACAATGTTTTTGTATCGATAAATAAAGTCGAAATTCATAAAAACCTTTTTGAAAATTTACCTATTTAAAAAATGCACTTGGTGACTTTTTGCAATAAAGCGACATTATGAACTTACACAAAAAAATATTAAACTGATGTTAATATACATATAAAAAAAGTATAACTATTTTTATTTTTACTAAATAATAAAATTCATATTTTATTTGTAATGAATACAAATGAGTCTACACATATATATATTTTTTTTATTAAAAATTTATCGTACTTATAAACCATCGTTTCATATACTCGTGATTTCTTATCACTTAATAATCTTGAGGAAAGAAATTTTTCCTGTTTTGTCATGATGCTTCAATGACACCAATTCTATTATTATTCACTTATTAAATAAGACGAAGTTTAGAAAAAAATAAAATAAAATGTATTTTTTAAATTTCTATTGATTATGATTCTTTCTAATTATAAGATTATTATTTTAGAGCTTTCTAGGGATAACAAAATATATTGTATTTTTTTTTAAATGTAGTTTTTTATTTTTTCTTGAGTTTTCTAGAATCTGTTTTAGTTTATATTAATTTACAAGATAAAATTAAATAAGAAAAACCTTCAAATATATGTTAAATTCTGTACAATTTCATATTTTGACATTTTTGTTAATTACAGTAATTTTCATTTCAAAATTGCAAACGGTTTTTGTCTTTAAAGATTTTAACGGACTGATTTTTTAGGAATCCGTGGTACAAACCCCGTTTTATCGAATTATTAACATCCGCCTGAAATATCGTAAATAGTTTCATCTCATCGTAACGTACAACTATTTTATTTACGAAAACTGTAGGAATTCGGGCGTTTTCAATCTGGAGGTGGGAAATCATTGTCTATTTAATTAGCTACTAAAAACTCGTAAATACTCATTTGCTTTCTTCTTGGATCACAAGATAATTTGATCACAAAATCGAGAGAAAAGGTTGTCTTAAAAAATATTGAGCCGTTTGGCGTGACCTACACCCCCAAATTTTCAAAATAACGTGGTTATATAGGACAAACGGCCCAATACTTTTGTAGGCCACATATGTTCTCCATTTTGTGATCAAATTATCTTACGATCAAAGTAGAAAGCATATGGGTATTTACGAGTTTTTAGTAGCTCATTAAATAGACAAAGTTTGCCCCCCCCCCTCCCTCCAGGTTTAAAACGCTCCAATTCCAAGAGTTTTCGTAAATAAAATAGTTGTAGGGCACGATGAGATCAAACTATTTACGAAATTGAGGCGGATGTTAATAATTCGATAAAAAGGGGTCTGTACCACGGACTATATTTTCTTCGACCGACTCCCTCACTCGTTTCTATAAAATACTAATGTATATATATATATATATATATATATATATATATATATATATAAATAAATTAAATATAGTAAAAATAAATTAAGTAAAGAGATAAAAATATTTCCTTACGTCATGTTGCAAGCAATTGCAGCCAGCGAGTCCTCATAAACAACTGTCTCTGCCAGATTTTTTTTGAAGGTCGAGACGTTTCGATAACTTTAACAGAATCCAAAATAATTTATTTTTAATTGAAGTACGTATTATTGAATGTAATCTTGTTCAATGTTCCGTGTATAGTTTAAGACAAAGGTTTTATATTGTAAATATTGTAAATTTTAAATCTTACAAAATTCTTTAGAGGACACTTATACATTCATGACTAAAGTAATCCTTGATGAAAATAGATACAATTAATGAATGAAACAAAATTTCCTAGACTTTCAGTCAATATGTTTTTATTGGGTTAGCCGAAGTTTCGACACAAA